GTGGAGCCCATGTTCCGACACCTCAAGAACACTTATTCGGGGCTTCAGCTCATCATTGTCATCCTGCCCGGGAAAACGCCGGTGTATGGTGAGGAAATACCTCTGTCTTTACCTGTCTGGTCAGGTATCATTCTGAGATATTTGCTGCCCAACTTACGTTAGAATATTCCTCAGGATCCTTCTTTAGACATTAGAAACCAAGGTTTTGTGTATGAAGATAAAATGAATTGGAGGCAGACCTGAGCATGCGGATAAGTTGAAAGTTGTTTTGCAGAGCCTACGCTGAAATTATTGCGAGTTAAGATTGAAATACGGCAATAATTTCAAATGGACTCAAGTCATATCCTAATGTTTGCTTCTCAGCGGAGGTGAAGCGTGTGGGAGATACGTTGTTGGGGATGGCCACACAGTGTGTTCAAGTCAAGAACGTCATTAAAACATCTCCGCAGACGCTATCAAATCTGTGCCTGAAGATTAATGTTAAACTAGGAGGAATCAACAACATCCTTGTACCTCATCAACGGTAAGACTCTTCATGGAGACTGATTTGGGTTTTGTTTTAACACGTGTGGTTACATTTGCTGCTTAGCATCCAAAATTTAAACTTGGCCAGCCTTTAAGTTGAGGTATTAATACTGTGCGATAATTGAGGTGCAATTAAATTTCTTCTACCATTGGCTCTGAGTAGTTGTTGGGTCTTAAGCCAAGGTTCTTTTCAAATGCTTGATCGGTATCAAAAAACTTGAAAAGAAACTGCAGATCTAGAGATGTTGAAATACTAATATAATCAGAAGGTTTTGGAGGTTTAAGAGCACACACCACATCACAGAATGTAATTTTTGGGCCATATCAACAGTCTGTTAATAAGGGTGGGAGAATAGTGGAGGCATTTCATTTCTCCTGCTACAATAGCTGAGTAATTCAGCTCGCATTTGCATTCTCTGTGCTCTGAATGTGTGCTCCAATTGCTTTGGTGCCTTCAGCGAGAAGGTTTGAGGAGTCCAGCCCGTGTCTGCTCCCGTCTTTCTCGCATGGATCATTCTGGAGCAGCCCAAACCTCTCAGTTCTGAACACTGGAAGTTAGGGTTGACTCTAGCCGTCACTAGAGCACACGTGCATAGTGCAGGGTAGGGAGCCAGAAAACCATCCTGCTCCTGAAATCCTGTAAGCCCAAGTGTAAGCAGCCGCCGCTGCTCCCGGCCGTTTGCCGCGTGGCTGCCGCGGTGCTGGGTGGTGCTGAGCTGACCCCCGAGCACTAGGGCGATCCAGCTGGCGGATGGTGGTTGCTGTAAGGAGCCGCCTGTGCCGTTTGGGTGTAGCTCCGTGGCTTCGCTCCACCAGAGTCGTGCCTCAGCCGAGTGGCAGGGGGCTGTGGAACGGCTGCGGCGAAACGGCTGCTGCCGTGGTTTCGAGGTTCACATCGTGTGCACAAAGGTTGCACTGTCTAGGTTTGGCCAGAGTACCTGATAGGAAGGGTTCTTGGTGCAGCTCAGCTGAAATAGGAACCAAACCCCCTCTTGAGCTATAACCTTGTGCCAACTGTTCATCTGCAAGTGTGACTTAGCACTTTTTTCTTTTTGAAGACCTTCTGTGTTCCAGCAGCCAGTGATCTTTTTGGGAGCCGATGTCACTCACCCTCCTGCTGGGGATGGAAAGAAGCCGTCCATAGCTGCTGTAAGTTTTAAGTATTGTTTTTTCATCTGAGGTAAATGCAACTCATAGACTAAGCCTATGTCTAAATATCTTTCAGAGCTTATGTCAGTTCCTTACACACAGCACTGCTTGATACTTCAGACTGTTTTCTTAGGGTTTTTTTTAATTTTTAAATCAAAGTAGAATGGCAATTATGTTAAAATATTTCTGCAAAAATATTCTAGAGGAAGTAATGCAGCTTTGTGTTGTTACTTAATAACATTTTTGTATTTTTAAAGGCAAAAAATGCAAGTAAAGGCCTGGTTTGGCAGGAAGGTTTTTGATACTTCTTAACCTTTTGTGTTGGTACAGTCAAGGAGATCAAGGTGGTGGTTGGATGCTTGGTCAGACCCTTCCTATTTTATCCCCTTGGTATTTTACTTGGCCTTGGTTGCAGTTACGGAAACTGCGTCCTTTTCTAAAGTAACTAAGGCAAACTGCAGTGTTCCTCTGTGTAAAAGGTGAGAAAACTTGAGAGAAAAAAAATCTATCTGGATTATAAGAATATGCATGAGTGTGCTCTCAACAGAGGGGAAGGCTCCAAGGCAGATGGATTCTGTAGATGCATTTCAGGGTGCTTGGAGGACAAGTTTTATACCTCTTCTCAAAAGGCATTAAACCTACACCTCCTGCAGGTTCCAGCTGAAACTGTTACTGTGGTGGTTGTCTTGGTATAAGCATCTTTTACTTGAAAATTGTTATTCTTGGCTTTTTTACTTTTTTGTATAGATTTGATCTCAAAACCTTAATTCATGTAACCTTCTGAAGGTTGTAGGTAGTATGGATGCTCATCCAAGCCGGTACTGTGCCACGGTGAGAGTTCAGCGACCCCGGCAGGAAATCATCCAAGATCTGGCCTCCATGGTGAGAGAGCTTCTCATCCAGTTCTACAAGTCAACACGGTTCAAGCCCACACGTATCATCTTCTACAGGGACGGGGTCTCTGAAGGGCAGTTTCGACAGGTTGGTTCATTTGGGGGTTTCTCGAAGGATTGTTACTGTGTAATAACTTCAGTTCTCTGATTTGAATAGCTGTACTGTTGCAGCTGCTTGCATTTACACCGAGATACCACAAGGTAATTGAGACTTTTAAGGAGGGAATTGCTTAAGCATGTTGGGTAAGAAAAATTGCAACTTCTTTCCTGTCTGGGCGGGGGAAGGTCCTAAAACTTGGGAAACAATAGATTTCTAAGAACTCGGAAGATTACTAGTTGTGTGGTGATTGTTTGCGCTTGGTGTTAACTGCAAACTCCTTATTAGCTGGCTTGTGTAGAGTACAGCAGAAGGAAAACGTAACCTGTTCTGTTCTTGTGCTTGTAGGTTTTGTATTATGAGCTGCTAGCCATTAGAGAAGCCTGCATCAGCCTGGAGAAGGATTACCAGCCGGGAATAACCTACATCGTCGTGCAGAAGCGACATCACACGCGCTTGTTCTGTGCTGACAGAACAGAAAGGGTAATCGCTGCCCTCTCTCTTAGCAGCCTCCCACGAAAGCTTGATGTCAAGCGCTTATGCTGCTGGAGGAAATACCAGCACGGGCTTTGTGCTCGGAGAAGATGAACTGATAATTGCACGGTTCTCCATGGGGATGGTAGAGAGCCATCCAGGGTCCTTGTCAGACATCCTGCGCTGCCGCAGGGACGCGTTTGAAGCAGCACTGAGGCCGTTCGTTCACTGAAACCTTGCCTGTGTTGAGCAGACGCTTGTGGTTCTACTCACAGCTAAGATGTTTACACAGTTGTTAGCTGCCCTTTTTAACAAAACCTTTTCTCTAGGTCGGACGAAGCGGCAATATTCCAGCTGGAACGACTGTAGATACAGACATCACACATCCATATGAGTTTGATTTTTACCTCTGTAGCCATGCTGGAATACAGGTATGATTGCTTCTTTGTAAGTAAATGTGAACTTAGAACATGTTGGGGTTTTCTCCCTTTTGTAGTGCTTGTGTTTGTAAACATTCAATTAGTAGGGAAATGTCATTTAGCTCAGTTTTGTCTGAGATACGGACTCCATAGGTAGCTTCTGAAATACTGGAGTCGTTGCTAGGCTTGAAGTCAGGGTGCCAAGGAAGAGGAGAGGGTTAAAAGCAGCAGTTGTTTTTCTGGGAAATGCTTGCTCTGAGAAACGGTTTTAATTGAAGGTAGTTAAGAGGTGGTGTAATCATGGTTTAGTCATGTTGGAAGCAGATTTTGATTGTCGAGGGCTATCTAGAAGGCATGTGGGTTTTTTCCAAGCAGGAATAATCATAGTAACATAATTGTATAAATGTTAGACTTCTTATTCGTCTTTAAACACATTTAGGGCTGACATAAGACTGAATTTTCTTTGGCTGTTGTTACATAGGAGTTGAGACTTGATAGTCTCTCCCGTTCTGAACTTAATCTGCCTTGACTGTGTGGAAAAGCCAGATGAGTGAATTGATGTTCCCTTCTTCTTAGGGTACCAGCCGTCCCTCACACTATCATGTTTTGTGGGACGATAACTGTTTCACTGCAGATGAACTTCAGCTGCTGACTTACCAGCTCTGCCACACGTATGTGCGCTGTACACGATCCGTTTCTATACCTGCACCAGCGTATTATGCTCACTTGGTAGCATTTAGAGCACGATACCATCTTGTGGACAAAGAACATGACAGGTATGTGAAAATGTGTGCTTCGGTTTTAGTCCCCATCAGTCTTTGCTCCATTGTCAGGTAAAAACTCATCGAACGTGGGTAATTACTGCTCGTTTTGCATTTAAGACTAGTCTCAGAGGTAAGAAAAATTAAGATCACCATTCCCGACAGCTGCTGCTCAGTGTCAGACAGGAGTGGGTTGGTGGGTTCTACTGAATAACACCGAGATTACAGGTATTTAGTTTATTAAAGTATTCTGTTATTGCTTTGACGTGGTCCGAGGGAATCAAGCCACGCATTTAGATTTTTGCTTTAGAATTAGTCATGAGTGAAGCAAATGTTAAGTGCCTTCCACTTACCTAACCCTGCTCTGGATGTCAGAAGTATTTTATAACCTTCAAGCCTTCAATATGTTTGCAGCAGGCTTATTTTTAGATGAACAAACGGAGCAGCTGAGGTCAAGGGGTTTGCTAAAAGCCTCGAGGTTGCTGAGTAAATAGACAAGTAGACTTTTCTCAGCGTCCAGTTCTATCGCTGCCGCCGTGCTGCTCTCCGGAATGTCGAAGAGACACAAAGGTGGCTTTTTGATCCGAATTAACACCATTTACAGCCCTGATTGTTTGTGCCTCGTCTCCTTGCAGTGCTGAAGGCAGCCACGTTTCAGGACAGAGCAATGGCAGAGATCCGCAGGCCCTCGCGAAGGCTGTACAAATTCACCAAGACACCTTACGCACGATGTACTTCGCTTAAGTCAATAACCGGGAGCATACTCGCTGCAAGGAAGAACTGCACAACGAAGCCACATCCGCTGTATGTTTCCGGTGGGGTTGGTTGATGGGCTGTGCCTCCGATCGGGCTCACGTCGACACTGTGTGCAGGGGCGAGAGGCTGACCCTTAAATTGACACAAGGAAGATTGTTTACTTCATCGAGGAACACGGCACTATTATGCAATATGAAACCAGCCAACTGCTTTTTTGGCATGGAAGCACCGCCATCATTTTATTTTATTTTTTTTTTTTTAATTTCTCGTAGTTTAACCCTCTTATGCCTTTACCTCAAGTTGCTCGGCAGCACAACTATCTCAGCAAAAAAAAAATAAATTTAAAAATGGATGGGGTAACTTAAGAAAAAAGCAAACCACCTTTTATAGGAACAATCAATAATCATTTGGGGGAGGGAAGTGTGCAAAAAAAAAATTTAATTTTTTTACCCCACTGCATTGAGGAATCTTGCTCTCGATATTGCCATCAAGCATTCGAATCTGAGCATATCCGAGTACATTTGAATGTGCAGCACTAAGCAGAAAAAATTGAGGGGGCGAAGATGTTTTGCACGCTAATCCGATAATTGGAACCTAATTTAGCCAACTGCTGCCTTCGTGTCGTTCTTCACAGCTTTGGAGCTCTGGGCTCCAGCAGTTCCCTTTCCGAAAGCAGAGAAGCCAGTGGGGGTACGTGCAGGCAGTAGGGATCCAAACTCTTCTTGCTCCCTGGTGAAGTTACTAAAGCTGCTGGTTTACGTAGTCCAAAAGTTTCAATTCTTTTCTATCTGGCAAGTCAAATACGTCGAAGCTTCAGTGTGATCGGTCGTCCCGAGTTTGATGGGATGACACGTAGTAACCACCAGAACTGAAACTTTAGAGCTAAGGCTTTTTTGGGGAAAAAAAAAAAAAAAAAGAAAAATGCTAGTTTACTTGCTGCCTCTCACACCTTAATGTGATTTCATATGTATGTGTTTTTGAAGTTTAGCTTCCTTTTGTTTCTTTTGTATTTATTAGAGTAATAATAATGCTTTAATTTAATTATTACAGAACATATGGTCAACATCAACTTTTATTTTTTAGAAATGTAACCGTGTTTATTTTTTACAAACTGACAACTTGTTTTGCTATCTTTTAGTGCAATAAGCGTTCTAAAGACAAACTGTGTCCATTGAGCTGTACTGAAGCAGTGTTTGTACCACTAACTGTGGAAGAATGGACACCTCCATGATTTTAAAAGGACAAAGTAAAAGCCTTAATTTTGAAAGGAAAGTTTTATAGTCAGAAGGAATCTTAACTTTTCCTTTTTTAAATCAAAAAAAAATAGCAAAAATGCTTCTAGAATTCAAGCTTTACTTGTCACTGCAGTATTTTGATTTAACAAAGGAACTGGCCTTATTTTTGGCTTTGAAACGTGGAGGATATTTGAATTAAACGGAAAGGGTTTTTTATTGAGATCTAAGTTTTTACATGCTTAGTTAAATCTATGTGACACCAGTAAATGTCTGGAACTAATAAAAGTTTTTAGGCTTTTTTCCTCTTTGATAACGACTTTCCTTTTAAAATTAAGTTATTGGTAACTTCATTTCACTTTGCAAATAAAGAGGGCTGGGATAGTTCTAACATGTTAAATCACTGAAATGTGAAACAAACGGACGGGACTCTTTCATTCCACTTTAAGGGTAAAACAATATTTAAGATGTCGGAGACGAGCATTTCTTCAGTGAGGGGACTGGGGAGTTTTGCACTTTGTAAACTCGTGAACTGCATTTCTGACTGTTTTTATTTGCACTGGTTCATAGTATCTCTACTGCAGATCGTTCGTATGGGCATTGCTGTGATCCCAGCCCTCCGAGCTCCACCTGCTCTCCACATGAAAACCAGTGGGTTGCTAGAAGCAGCTCCTCTCCTGTCCTCCTCGTGAAATCCGCTGTTTGCCAACAGCCTGTATTTTTGAGCCCAAAATCTGAGCCCGTTTTGCTTCAACAGGCATGAATCTCCCCCGGTTTTGGTCTGTTTTTTTTCTTCTGCCAGGAAGCAAAGTACTGTATTTTGTGCGTTTGTACGTCGTACCGAGCTGTGCTGTTCTCACGCTGTCACAGAGAGCTTTACCAAACGGTTGGTGTATATATGTATGTATCTCCCGGTATCGAGGGAGATAACGTTAAAAAAAAAAAAAAAAAAAAGACTAACTTAGCAAAGTTGAAATTGCACTGGAAATAGCTCGGGGGTCCCCGGAGAGCTGTGGAGGGTGATCTCGGGGTGCTGGGGGCCGCACACCTCAGCAGTGGCCCCGCAGCCCCCGGGGCTGGCCCAGCCCTGAGAGGAACCTGCTGGGGGGAACCGAGTGGTTCGAGCAGGATGGGTTCCCAGGACGTCTCACAAATGTTTTGCTTAGTCTGTGGCCTGATGGTTTTCTCTTAGAAGCGCTCCAGCTAGTAATTCTGTTTATGAAAGGTTCAGGTTAGGCTTTTTACAGATTATTCTTTTTTTTCTAAAAAAGAAAAAGCAACCAAACTATTTTACAAAGACTTCTTACGGATTTCTGGCATTTAGGTGAAAATTCCTTTTTAAAAAGTCTCTTAACACTCCTTTGAAAGACCCTGTCCGCTTCTCACCCTGCCCACGCTCCGTGACTGTGACCTGAGCAGGTTTTTTGCGTGCTGCTTTCACCAAAAAGCAAACCAAGACCCTCCTTTGGCAAAGTGACTGAGCTGACTTGTGGAGCGAGCCCGTTACCTGGTTTTCATGTGAAGAGTATTTGGATGTTTTAATCTCTATTTTTGGTTTTGCAAATATCTACGTAAAGTGCCGATACTTCTTTGTATTACGATATCAAGTTACTGGCGTTGTGAGGGCCACACATTTATGATGCTGTAGCTGCTATATTTATTTAAATGGAGATGGACAATTACTGCACTAAGGAATGAGGAGATAAGCAAGGAATCAAGGTTAGTTAGATCTCTTGGTTTGGGTTTTTTTTTTTCGAAAGAGACTTAATGGTGTGAAATATCAAGCGTAACAAAGGGTGCTGTCATTTTAACGGAGATTAAATAGCCAGATATTCTTCCTTTGTTTAAAAACATATATATTTTGATGTTTGCAGTTTGGGGGTGGGGGGTCGGGATAAATGGTACCTCATCTGTGGTGGCAGTTTCCAGTATATTTTCAGAGTATATGGATTTCTTTTATTTTTGTACCTGCTCTCCTTTAAAAAGAAAAGAAAAAAAAAATCTCAAATTTTATGTGCTGTTTGGGGAAGTCGTGGGCGGCACGGCGTGCCAGATCCCCCTCTCTCGCTGGGAGCTCGCTGTAAATAGCCCAGAGGGGGCTGTGGCACGGCCGGCCGCTGGACTGACCCCGCAGGCGGAGCGGCCTCGGCTTTACCCTGAGCCAGAAAAGCGGTTCCTCCTCCCGAGGCAGCGTGCCGGGTCACTTCAGAGACCTCGCCGGCACCTGCTGAGCCCGGGGCCGTGCCTGAACCCGTGTCCAGCGACCGGGAGCTGCAGGGCTGGGGAGAAGCCGAGAGTTTTGTAGTTGGAGGCGTTAAACTTTTGACATCTGCTAACGGAACGACTGACTTCACTCTAAGTGGCTTTTTTCCCCCTCCTTGCAGGCTGTTCAGCTGTGGCCATTTTACTCAGGATCGCTCTGTTGCTGTTCAATGTGGTAGCGGGTTAAACGCATCCAAGAGTTATTTTTATAGGGTTCGTTCTGGCATCCTTTTGGAAGTTTGTTTGGCCACAGAAATGATTTTCAGGAGTAAAATGGGTTTCTGGAAGCTGTCAGTCAAATTATTTCAAGATGCTTTTGGTCCTAAACTATTTTCACTTCATGTACAAATTCTTGTCCTGTAAATGCTCGACATAAGATACCAGATAGTTGTCATCTGTACAAATTCCAGCTATGAATACTGGTTTTCTACTAGTCTTGAAGTCCTCTGTGGTGAGATTCCAAGCTCAGCCTACACTTAAAAAAGCTTGAGGCCTTTTTTTTTTTTTTTAACACTTTCTTCGTATCTTCTCCTCTTTGATATTTTCCCCGTTTTGTGAACTGAGGGTTTAGATCCTTACTCAAAGCACTTTTTTAACGATAGAATCAAAAATTCCAATTATTTACATTGAAGCTATAAGTTCGGCTTTCGAAGATCGTTATTTCTAAATGGCCGCCTGGGTCTCTGGTGAGGCCGGGCAGATCCTCGGTCGCTCGGTGGAGTCAGGTTGGTTGGACCTAGTGAAACCTCCACAGGGATGTCAAAGGGAAAGATTCCTGTCTGTCTTTTCTGCCCAGAGATGGTACTTCAGAGCGATACGGGGTGTTAAAGATGCCATCTTTTGTTTCGGCACATGTTGAAATCAACTGTCACTTGGCCAATTCACTCAATGTTTTTTGTAAATCTGAAAAGGCAGTGGCTGGAGCTGGAGCTGTGTGATGCTTTCTGCTAGTAGAAGAGTTTGTTCTTTCAGTAGTTGAGGTATGAGTGAGATGGGTACAGGATCCTACATTTTACCTCCCTAGCAGAGTCTCAAGAATCCTGATCTCTATGACACTAAACTAAAACCAACTTGTTGTCCCTGAGGAGGCGAAGGTGCGTGTGGAGGGGAAGGAATTGCGAGGGAGAGGCTGCCGAGGGAAATACCGAAGCATCAGTTTTACCAAAAGGAGAGACTCCATGCCCTTGCTAGCCCGTGTGCCCTGGCCTTTTCAAATCTCGCCTGAGGTACCCCCTCACCTGGCACAGGGAGTTAACGTAGGGTCCTTTGAAAACAAATCAGTTTCACTGTTTAAAACTTGGAGTGATTTTTATGTTTTTTAAGCAAGACTGTCCTCAGAAAGTGCCTTTTTTAGAAGATGGTGCTGTAGATTTTTATTTTCCAGTTGTACGTGGCTGAAAATTTAAGATAAATTATTGAAAATGCCAAGTGTTTGATGGTATCTTTCAGGTACTTTCAAGCATCAGCTTCTTTGAGTCAGGACCAAGAATATCCAGGAGGGTGTTTTCATTTGGAGGGAGAGGCATTGAGGAGCGATCACCAAATTCAGCCGGTAGGCTAGAATCCGCTTGGCTGCAGTCAATGCAATTGTTACCTCTTCACGTTGAG